AGAGAGAGAGAGAGAGAGAGAGAGAGAGAGAGAGAGAGAGAGAGAGAGAGAGAGAGGAGAGAGAGAGAGAGAGAGAGAGGACGAAAGTCAGACGCAAAGAAAGAGACGGACAGAGAGGAAGGCCCTTGAACCGGGGAGAGAAAGAACGCCGACCGCCGCGCGCAACCGCCGAGCGGCGGCGGGGAAAATCCCTCTTCTCGTCAGCGGCGACCGTCGATGGCACTCGCTCCATAAGCCCCAATTGACCTCACCTCCTCCAGAGTAATCCCTCTCGTGACCCCCTTACTTCCCCGCCACACTTATTTCACGCTCCTTGACCCCGCCGACGGGAGGGATTTCTTAAAGGCCACGAGCGTCGTTTCTGGGACTCGGCGAATTCTCCTCCGATTTCATCTTTCAGCTCGCACATGCAGCAAACGCGGCCCTGACATCCACTGGAGGAGAACTAACGAGTGATACGAAGAGAGCAAATATATACAGACGGCGTAGAAAAGGCGAAGAAGTCCTCAAGATATGGGCCTCCCCTCGTCCCAGATCGCCCGAATGCAAGGCACTTGGGAAGAGGTTACATTATTCACGTAGGATGCGACGCGAAAAAATGCTACGACTCTTACAGGAAAACAACGATAATTCTAAGCAACATTATTCACTTGTTGTGAAATTAATACCCGTCCCTCCCTTGCATGCAAATTTTGTTTTGCATTCTAATTACGAGAAATAAAAATCTAAATCCATATCCTTGTTCATTTTACTTTCCTTTTACTACACGACCCTTTCCCCCAACGACCCACAATGCCTGTGCAAAGTATCGCAATTCCCTATAAACAACAATCCCTCCCTCCCTCCCTCCCTCCCTGCCTGCCTGCCTCCCTGCCTGCCTGCCTGCCTGCCTGCCTGCCTGCCTGCCTGCCTGCCTGCCTGCCTGCCTGCCTGCCTGCCTGCCTGCCTGCCTGCCTGCCTGCCTGCCTGCCTGCCTGCCTGCCTGCCTGCCTGCCTGAGGATAAGCTCTTTCATACATAGCGCCGCCGACGCCGGTCCTCAGAACCTTCCGCGGCCGAGGGACTTCCCGTTGCCTTTCCCCTATTATTCCCAACAACAATGCGAGTTCAAATCCTCGGGGACTCGAGCACGAGGAGGCACGACAAAGACTTCATATACTGGCTTCTCCTCCTCCGGGACATCGCAGTCTCCCCGTGCCCCTCCGCAACGCCTTTTTATTCTTGCCCTTTTTCTTTGAGTCGTAGGAGTATCGCAGGACAAGGAAGTGCATTATGTTCATGGTAAGGATTATTGCAAATTCTTTCTTCTCTTTTTATTGACTTTCACATTGTCGACATCGTGAATGTATGAAAGGCACTGCAATGCCCCATCCATTGAGCATTTTACAATAACTTTTTTTAAGTCTCGCCAACATCCGAACACACATACGTAGACTTTGGCAAGAGGACGAGGGGAAAGGATTAAAAATTATATTATTTATCAAATCCGAAAAACAATTTATTATAGAAATGCAACTTGCAGCGTGCATTGTGATAGTTTTAAATTCAATTCATTTTATAACACACAACTACGCACTGCAATCATGCAAAACCTTGAACAAAGCCTGCTGCTTAAAAGGGGTAAAACCTATAAAGGAGAGTTAGTAACGTTGCGAGTTACATAACAGAACCCTTTGGCAACTCTTTCGCCATCAAAGTTGTCGTCGCCGGCCTTTCTTGGCAGCATCTGATAAATCCTAATCACCCGCGGGAGAAACGCCCTCTTCAGAATGGAGAAGCGCGCTATTCCTTCTGGATCGGGCACGCCCACTCGGCCCCGCTGTCCCCCAACTAACACCCTAGCCCGGCCGAGCTTCCTGATGCATATACGTCATCCCAGGCAGGAAATTTGCTGGGTCGCTAGTAAACCGTTCGACCTTCCGGTCTGAGGTGGGGGAGCGCGGGCCCGCTTTATAACAGACAAATCCTTCCGCCGCTCTCAATCCCGCGAGACGGCCGCGATCACCGTCCATCGCTCCCCTTATTGGCGCGGCGGACTCACGCTGCACACGCCGGAACTTCGCTTGCGATTGCGTCTTCATTAACAGAAGGGGTTATCTCAACTAGTCAGCAAGAGAAAGCCATAAAATCTAAAATAACTGATTTCTCCCGTATTCTTACTGAACAGTTTGATTATGAAAAGCAGAATAGTTTAAGACCTGCTACAGCCAGTCCTTCACCTGCTGCCGAGGGAAAGGCCATAACCATTCCTCGCACCCACCCTCCGCAGGGCCGCGTCCCTCATTCCCTCAGATTTTCGATCACAGGAAGGCAGCAAATCATCAAGGGAAAGCTATTTCCCCTTTCCTGACACGTATCAAAATAGCAAGCGTCTCCTAGAGAGCGGAATCGCTCGGGAAACTAATATACTCATCTTCCGCGTCAAAGGCAAGTCAATTACATCCTCGAGATATGAGACGCCAAGTGTCACGGCTACACCTACACACACGTCACAACTTTACCTGAGTTGGTGAGCAGTATGGTGGGGTTCGGGTCGAACGTGACGTTGGGCTTCTCCGGCTTGCCTCCGCCGCCGCCCAAGTTCTCCTTGACGTTGTTGTTGTTCCCTCCGCCCGCACCAGAGCTTGCGGACGCCGCTGCCGCAGCTAGCGCCGCACTAGCCGAGGGCGGAGGAGCACTGCCGTTCGTTTCCGACGTCCGCACGCCCACGCCCGCGGCCACCTCAGTGTCATTCAGGTCAACAGTAACATTCGTGTCTTTCATGATGACCATGGCGGAAGACGGGCGCAGGGGGAACTGTGGCGTTGCGAGGATGGCCAGGCGGAAGGATCTTTACATAGTGGCGTGAGGACCATAGGAGTCCAGGGGCCACTCAGCCTCACTCGCAATGCAATTAATCGCACTCAATGGTCACTTTCATTGACTTCCCGGAGCGTCTATTTTCTTCAGAAGTGGGAAAATAAGTTTTTGCGATGGGTCTATTTAACTTCGATGTAACTACTATCAATAACAGTTATAGTACTATTAGTTACAAAATCACCAATAACACCAACAAGCATAATAATGTAAATAAAAATCAATTAGCAAACCCCGCTTTTCATCGACCACATTCTCTGCCCACGCATCTACTTAAACGTTTAAATATTGCCCATAGAATTATAATTCTTATTAAGCAGACTTATTGAGATAATTTAATGACATATATGCACAAATGCATATGTATATATGGATATGGATATGGATATATGTATATATGTATATGTGTATATGTATGCATGTGTATGTACATATATATATATATATATTAATTTATATACATATATATATATATACATATATACATATACATATATGCATACATACATACATATATATATACATATATACATATATACATATATACATGCATACATACATACATATATATATATATATATATATATATATATATATATATATAATATATATATAGAAGAGAGAGAGAGAGAGAGAGAGAGAGAGAGAGAGAGAGAGAGAGAGAGAGAGAGAGAGAGAGAGAGATGTGTGTGTGTGTGTGTGTGTGTGTGTGTGGTGTGTGTGTGTGTGTGTGTGTGTGTGTGTGTGTGTGTGTGTGTGTGTGTGTGTGTGTGTGTGTGTTGTGTGTGCGTGTGTGTGCGTGTGTGTGCGTGTGTGTGTGTGTGTGTGTGCGCGTGCGTCTGCATACATGCGCACAAAACACGCAATGTGTTTCCAAGCATATCCATCAGCGAGACAAACGGCCACAGCCCACACACCCAACACTAAAGCGTATTGGTTTCTCAATGCCAAACCCTCCCTCCCGCCTCAGTCAGCTCCTCTGCCACCACTTCTTTATCAAGCCTTCCACGATCAATTTGGGAAACAGATTTTCTCCCATGGGTATACGTGCGTATATGCCTAATTAAGTGAGTGTGGGTGTTTGTGTGTTACGGGCGTTTGCACACACGTGCACACATTTTCATACAACAATGTATAAGTATGTATCAATACTTGTTCCAGATGTACTCGCGGCCACATAGGGACGTGTTCTGCTTCTCATTTTTCCTTTCTCCCAGGTCCCTGCTCCTGCGCCTCCGCAGCACGAGATAAGGACAGACACGTCAGGGAGACAGATCCGGCGGACCAAATCTCGACCGAAAGAACCACAATTATCTTCCGTGCGTGAATATGTCGTGGGGAGGGAAGGACGGGGCGGGAGGGGGGTCGCCATCCCCTCTTCATTTTTCTCTTTCTACCAGGGGCGGGATGGAAGAAGGGTCCAGAGAAGAAAATTGAATATTAAAGTTGTAGTCGGATGAATCGCCGGGCGCGCGTGGTAGGGGAGCGGCCCGGGCGGCGTGGAAGAGAGGGACGACACTGGCACTGACGGCACGGCGTGGAGAGGACGACAGTGACCGTGGAGAAGGGGAGGAAAGGGGACAGGAAGGAAGTGGAGGGGAGGGGGAGAGGAAAGAGGAGAGGAAAGAGGAGAAGGAGAGGGAAGAATGAGAACTGCCCACGAGAAGAGTGGCGGAAAGGGTCAAGGAAAAGACCAGATTAGATGGCCCCGCGATGGCAGCCGGGGAATGAAAAAGGACTAACCGCAGAAAATTCTCAAAAATAAAAATGAAAATCAAAGAGGATCAAGGGGAGACTAGCAAAACAGGCAAACATGAGAAGACAAGACAACAGGATGTTGGCGGAGGAAGGGCACGGCTCAATGAGGAAAAAAGGTTACTGAAAGACAAACGAAGTCCGGAAGACAAACAGTCGAGAAACCGAAACGAAATGAACTGGGATCCACAGCTAGAGAACGCTCAAGTAAACAAATAGAAACTGAAAATCGTGATACAATATTTAAAACATTTACTGTATTTATCCTTCTATTTATATATTTCCATCCATTCATTAAAAAGGCGCATACATACACAAAAAATATATTTTTCTCCCGCTGTTTTCTCAGAAAGAGTTATCCCAGACAAAAAACCTAGAACCATATACATCCACCCACACGCATGCACATACATCAGACAAATACCTAATAAATCCACACACATACAAACATACAACACACAACAGAAGTAATTTCTCTGAGACAGTAATGGCGACGAAAGTGCATCGCTCAAGAGACTCAAATCGGTAATTGGAGTTTGGCGCTGACAGGGGAAGCGTGACCAAGGAACGGTGGTGAAATAGGTTAAACAAAAACGCTCAATTATTTCCAGCATTTACGATACAGTAACGATAGAGGGGGATGAGGAACGAACAAAAAATAAATAAAAATATACCAAAAGAATGATGGACACACCGAATTAAAGATATATTAACGAAGGTAGCCTGTGTTGTTTACCTGATAATCTGGATGCTCTTACTCCCCCTTTGCCAAGCGAGAAAAAGAATGATCTGGTTATTTCACGTTGTAAATGAATTGACGGGAGTGGAGAAAGCCATTTGGTCTTCCGATAGCACTTCCAAGGGTTTCACTGAAGCTTAAAACTAGAAAAAATAATAAACTGAGAGGATTATATCTTTAATTTAGCCAAAGCCACGTGTTCAATACATAGTTCTATTGTTTTCAAAGGTCTCTCTCTTTCCTCCCTCGTCTTTCTCTCTTAAAAAAAGGGACTAAATGGAGACTAAAATGAAAAATCTGTTGGTAGACTGTTACGAATATACAAGCCCACGATACATTATTTTTCGCTTGGACACCGAGATCCAAGATCCACACCTTCGACCTCGAAAAGCTTCCACCAAAACGTTGTGCAAAATACGAAATGAAAACCACATGCATTTCCCAGAGCCTGAAAGCGGCGTGAGAGCCCTGGGCCTCAAGGAGTATCCTAAAAATACACGGTTTAAGTTTGGACGGCGAGGGAAAGGAAACCGCGTGACTACTGGGGCTCTTTTATCCTCCGCGGGATGTCGGCAGCCAAGAAGTCTCTCCGTGGCTGAAAAGGGGAAATGGTTGTCAGCCGTCCGTGGGCTTCCTGATTCCTTTCCGACCATTTTCCTTCTCCTCCTCCTGCCCCTTGGGCGTTCTCATCGGACGGGAAGCGTGAGTGAAGAAAGTACGTCTGCAGCTGCTCATGGACTACCTAAGTGCATCATGAGCAAGTAGCGTTACAGGAGTTTCTTTCTACCTTCGAGAGTGATCAATCTAATGTTGTGTACTACAAAATCACCCCAAAACCCTAACCATGCGATTTAAAAAAATATAATACGCTTTCACGACATATCAAAGAGCATTCAAAAACATGCAAGCACAGTCATGGTAAGTAGACATTCGGGCATTTTTCCAGCCGAGGATCCCAAGAGTAAACAGTAAAGACGCGTGGTTAAAAAACGGTCTCTGTCGCGGCCTCCTCTGTTGACGAGCAACCACCTCGCCGCCAGCTGACGAGCACAACTTTTAAATTGGCGTTCAATGGGTTGAGGAAATAACACGTTACGACTCTACTCATCATCGACTTTCGGCCCAGGGATTCGAGGAGGGAATGTGCCGACACTGCAAATGCTAGGCTTTACCTTATTTCTCTCCCAATCGGTCTTTCTACAAATGCGAGAGACCCCTCCGAATTGCTAGTCCAATCTGGAGGCAGCAACCAAACATTCGCTACGCAATTTTGTGCCGCTTTATTAGTCTCGGGAGGCAATGTTTTCCTCTCCGGGATAATTTTCGTCCATGCTTATGTATGTAAGAGGAGGTTATTTTTACATAAAGCCCAGGCAACTGACTTGGTGAGTAAAATGCAAATTAATACGAAATAATGCTATTTAAATGCCACTATATAGATTATACGTTTACTTTTATATGAATTACAAGGAAAAAACCCAACATAAGATTGATCAAACTCCTCGTTCCGCAATAGTTTAACAAATTGAAATCAAAAGAAAAACATTCAAAACCTAGTAAACTCATCTTTGTTCGAACTCTTACCGGCATTTTTTAAATTTCCATAAACACATTTGATATCCGATGCAATCCCAAAAATCTCAACAGTTAATTGGATGCTTCAATCAAAAGGGGAATGCCAGCGCAAAACTTTCGATTGACAAAGCACGTCAAAAAATAATAATTTTTCAATGCAAACTTGCAGAAAGTTAAACCCGGCGACCGAACACCGCAGACATCCGCCGCTTCAACGGAGATTTGAGGAGGCATGATCGGCCAAATTGGAACGAAGGTAAAACATTAAAACAAATCTCGAGTTGGCTCTCCTCAAAACCAAATGTGGAAATTTCCATCTTACTTTCAGAACAAAATAAGACTGAAAATACCTGTAGCTTGCGGGGCTCGAGTCGGTCCGCCGCAGCCAGATAATTGCGGGCCAGACGGAGGCAGCGGAGGTTGAAAACAAATTTTGAACGCACGGCGGGGAGGCTGCGGCTCTAAATCAATAGCCCGAGAAATCAGCCACGTATAATGAAGAGCGACCGGCGACTTCGCGCCGCGAGAAGACGACACGGTTAACTATTCAATCTAATTATCCAATGACGTCAGTCGACGTCGGCTCCCAGACCGAAATGGAAACTAACGCCAACTTCACCCCGAGTCGCCTCTCCTACAAGACCTTTTAAATAGGCTCGCCATAATTACTGGAGGAAACTTTTCCGATCCGATCTGAATGAGGCCGACACTTGAAAGCCTTCTCCCGTCGCTGATAACGTCGCACGAGAATCCACACACGAGGAAAATAAGCTCTAAGAAGGAGGGAGCAAGACAGCTCGACCGTCGTACTGCGAGTGCAATGCAATGACAGTCTGGAGAGCGGTGCACACACGCGGGTAAAAACGAACAGGAAGCTAATTAGTCTCACCAAAGCTTTCCATGAAACGTTTTACCGGACTGTCAACACTTGCCTTAATTATATAATCCGTATATAAACGAAAGCTCTGTTAGACCCCAGGCAATGCCACAGCAACATTATACGGGAGTCACGGCGATTTTCACCAGGACGTCGAG